CAAAATCTACTTTTTTCCCTAGTGATAATTTTATTATTACACTACTTAAACTTCTGTGGCTTTCAAATCCTCATACAAAGCTGGTTATTTGCTCCACGGGTCATAATCAAACCCACAGGTGCTCTGGGCTGTGTGCCAGGGTCTCTGAGCTCCCTGTCAGGGGTCCCAGCAACTCTGGACACCCAGAGGGATGACTGGGTTCCGACAGATGGACACTCAGCCATCTCTCACTTCCCCATCTCAGGGGCACTGCAGAGAATAATTGGGAATTGAAGTGATCCATCCCACAGAGCCCAGCGAAAGGCTCTGTGATCTGCTCAGCTGAAAGACACTTCAAGCACCCAGAGCACCAGGGAGCTGACAGGAGCTGCTTGCTGCTGAACCATGGCCAGAACGTATTTCCCCGGTGCTATTTTTGGGCTGACATTATGGATCCCTCAGAGCCAAACTCATCTCAGCAATGTGATCCCCCTGTTGTTACGGGTTTATCACAAAAGTAAATCAGAGTGCTCTCAAGAGAAGAAGAGAAATAGAAGCACAAAAATCCCTCAGTGCCCCGAGAGAGAGAATTCACAGTTCTGCAGTGCCAGCAGATCTGTCCTAAGCACCACCATCCTCAGTCACCAGTTTTGCTCTTTAAGAAGTGTTTGCCTCAACCACTCCCATAATTTCTTAGTTCTTGATGCCAGGTGAATTATAGGTGCATCATAGCAGTTTCACTTTTTAATTAGAAAATTAATCCCACCCCAGAGAGGAATATTCATGTCCCAGTTCTTTTCATATCAGAGCATTACAGTGTCTCCCTTGTGTTTTTTAGTTTTGTTTGGGGTTTCTTTTTTAGTGGGTTGGGGTTTTTGGGGGTGATTTTTGGGGGGTTTTTGTTTGTTTGTTTGTTGTTTGGTTTTGTTTTCTTTTTAGGATTGTTTGGTTCTGGGATTTCCTGCTTCCCCTAAACCTCTTAGGAAGCAAATTTATTCATGGAATATTTAAAGGTGAACTATTTTTTTTTCCTCAAATCACTTTGTTCCACAAGAGCAAAACAATTGTTTAGGCCCATTGTTCAGATATTGTTTAAATAAACAGACACTTCCTGTCCTGCCATACTGAAAATTACTCTTTACACTCAGAG